TGTGTGTGTGTGTGTGTGTGTTCGCTTGCCAGTGGATGTGCGTTTGTGGGCTTGGGTAACGGTGGATTCAGCAGACCAATAAGTGATTAGTGTGCTAACCCAGCCTGGCGTCTTTGTCTCAGCTCAGTTACCTGTTGCTTTGTTATTGCTGTTATGGAAAGAGCTCATCTAGAGGGCATTAAGCGATGAGTAGGCTTCTGGAAGCAGGAATTTGTTCCTTTCTGGAGCTGCTTTTTGGAAAATCTCACTACAGTGTCATTGACTGTATTATTTCTCTCTTTACTTTCCAACCAACCCCCCTCACCCCCTCACTAGCTGAGGAACTTGGTAGATATGTGCATCAACCCTGACCCGGAGAAGAGGCCGGACATCACCTACGTGTACGACATTGCCAAACACATGCAGAACTTGACTCAGCACAGTTAAACCCAGAGTTACACGCACTATAGCTTGCAGAACTCCTACCGACTTCCTCTTTGCTTTTCATGCTTGACTTGTACACATCTATCAGCTTTTATATAATAACATACTCCAGAGGTTATATCCTTGTGATAAATAGTAGGTGTTATAGATTTTTATTTCCAGTGATGGTACAGTTTATAACATGACTGACACCCAAACCCTTTTTGCCCAAGAATACAGACTATACAGATTATACCAGTTTTTCAGATGGACCTCCCATTCCCTTGACTTCAGTAACGTTACAGCACTGAAAACTGGTGTATTGTAACTCACTGATGTTTTTTGGCCTTATAACATGTGACCTCTGTATTTTCATAGCGAACTAATGCCAGTCTTCAGCAGCTGCTACAAACCAATGCTTAGAGCAGATATACTGGAAAATGGTAAAGTTATGACAAACATGGTAATGTTAGGTGTAACCTCCTATACTCAGTTAATCAATGCAAATATTTTTAAATGTGACCTTATAGGCGTTAGATGTGTCACATTAGACTTTGTGTCAGTGAATGTGACAGCAGTGACCATGAAAACATAGATCAAGGTTAATGTTAGTGAAGATATTTTAACTCAGTGGTGTTATTGATGGGTGAAGTTTTGGTGTGTTGCACTTTTTACCCTGGTACTGGAAGGAGGGTAGGGTCATGTCTGATGAATGTATTAGGAATGGAAGGATCAGTGCGGATGGGAGAAGATGGACGAATGTCTCCACAACACTTTAAGTCATTTTGACACCTCTGTAAAAATCACAGTCTGTTTTTTTTTTGACCACCTGGAGGGATCGGTAGAAACTGTAAAGCAGTTTTACATCTTCTGTTTACCTTAGATGCTGACACCAACAAATTATCCTTGGTTCACATTATGCAAGGTGTACTGCTATGGTGTAGTATGAGGATTTTTAGGGAAGGTAAGATCATAGTGAACACATGAGGAAAAAAAAGTCAAAACATAGGATGCGTTTGACCCAGAAAGGAAGTCTGCGTAGACAAAATTTTGTGAGATAACATTGCTGTTAAAGTTTGCAGTGTTTGTGTCTTGTTATGCAACAAATACAGATTTTGAAGAGATAGTAGGGCCTGTGTTTATCCAGCATCTCAGAATCACTCCTAGGAAAGTTGACCTAGGACTGAAAACACTCCTACCTCAGTTGGACTTAATATTTATGATGCCGACTGCTCTTACTTTCAGCAAGCAGGGCAACACTCAGAGCTGCAAGGTAGAAATTACAGGGACATGTTTTTTTTTCTGACAGTTGAGGTTTGTAGTTTTATTTTTTAAAAACAACAACAAATGAAATACCCAAATTTGTGCCACTTTCAATAGAAGGCTTTATACATATGGGCAAAAGACTGGGTAAGTGAAGATAACATAGTTAACAAAGCTTTAATAATATGACAAATGCCAATTCTATTTCTGTAGAAGATTTAGTTTGTTGGAAAGCCAGTCATGATGTGAATCCACTGTGTGAAGTTATTCTCATCAGTCCAATCTTTTTTTTTTTTTTGTTAATTCCTATAATAGACCTGTATATACAGGGGTAACATGATTATTGTCAGATAGATGTATTCCACTCTCACTGAGGACCCTTAAGTCACATGTGGATCCAGGATATTTGGCGACTATATCACACAGGATCACACAGTTCACGTCTCTATCCCTTGAGTGCTAATACAGTGTTGTTTTCTATTCACATTAGCGTGTTCACGTGGAGCTCGGAGCATTGGTTTTATTGAGTGGGCCACCGAGGGCCCTAACAATCCCCACTAGATTAAACACAAATGTACACACTGCACGTCGACATACCTGTAACCATCCACTGCATATACGCAGCCATGCACACACATGTAAGAGTGTAAGGTACATCTATGCACATAATTGCGTCCTAATACACATATACTTGAATACAGCCGTTAACTTGTACACTGTCCTTATATGGTTAAAAAGGATCGTCGTATCAGCCGTATACAGTAGATCAAAAAGCTTTCCTGTGACAGTATGTTGCGGTGACCTTAGTTTCTGTGGAGACAGCAGGTGTTCTTCTTGGTGATGAAGCAACTGCTTCTCGCACAACATCTGTCCCAACAGAATTTTTTAATGAGCTCAGTGTCATTAAGTGTTAGCAAAACATCTCACCTTCCACAGAATCTATACATCTCTCCCCGAATGACATCTCCTGGCAACCTCTACCCAGCTAGGACACCTCTGGAGCGCTTGTACATTTTCTTGGAGATAGAAGTGTTGATAAAATGTTAATTCTGCTCCTAAATGTAGGACAAAAAATGCATCAGTCTGAGAATTTTTGGCTGGGTAGGAATGATTTCTTACTCTGAGACGCTTTGTAAATACGGGCCCAGATCCTTGCCTTGTGTAGCGTCCATGTCATGAGTAAAATCACGGCGTGCCTACCTAACTTATGTTCTCAGTTGAGATACCAAGTCACACACAGTGAGCAGTTTAAATATAAGACTTGTAAAAAAGTAAACAAAAAAAACCAAACAAGCACCAGTGGGACTCATTTTGTTTTATTGTACATAGTGAAATTCCTACAGTTTAATACTGTAGGGTTTTAGTGACCTTTATTCATTTAGAGGGAGGGAATAGTGATACTGTATGTATACAGTATAGATATATATTATAAACAGTGAATCGGTTTACACCAGGGTCACAAATGGCTAGCACTGACTATCACAGGTTTACATAATGACAATGATACCACATGACAGAAAGAGTAAGTAAACAATAACGGCGTTATTTCAGTATCTTATGAATTCAGTTTTAACATTTTAAAATAGCCTGTTAACCATTCAGTTGAATTGTTGTACATGTATGCCTCTCTTCTTCATGTTTCTTTTTTAATTAACATTTAATACTAATAATGTGTTGTATACAAAAATCAAGGCTTATAGATGCAACAAAATGTAAGTTATTTTGTTATGGTTAATAGAATATTTTGATTGTGTGTTGATGCTAGTTTTGTTTTGTCTTGACTCTTTTAAGACTTGCAAATACAGTGCTTGCAATTTTTGGTTGCAATTGTATACCTTCTCCTTAATTTTGTTCATTTATATTGCTTTTCTCTCCCCCTGCAGTAAAACCTTTTTAGTAATTTTAATTTTTCTTCATCTTCCCTTACAGTGCTGTTAATTTTCTGTCCCCATCCTCCTTAACCAAGAGCATCTAATGCACCAAAACCTTTAAGCTTTTTGCAGTAATAGTGGAACTATGGCTTTAAAACACTTTTTAGATGAATTAATTTTGATGCATAATGAATTCCTCAAATAAATTCGAAGTATTTATCTGCAAATTATCAAGAACAAATACTCCAAGCACTGTATGGTAAAGAGTGTTTTTTTGTCTTTGTAACATACGACCCTGTTTCCAGAAAATGTTGGGACACTGTAAATTTAAAACCCCCTTTACCCTCTATTCATTTGATAACTGTACAAAAATAAGATATCTAATGTTCAAATTAATAAATTTAATATATTTTGGCTTATATAGGTTTATTCTGAAAGCCTCCCAGAGAGGCTGAGTATTTCAGAAGTAAAGATACGATGAGGTTCACTACACAAATAGTTCAACAATTTTAGAATAACATTTCTAAAAATAAAGTTGCAAAGATTTGGGGTTCTTACTCATCTACAGTACATAACCTCAAAAGATCCAGAGAATCCAGAGAAACCTATCTAGCATGGGATAAGACTGAAACCCATTCCTGAATGGCTGTGATCCTCAGACCCACAGGTGAAAATGCATTAAAATACAGACATCATTCTATATCATCAAATCACTGCAGGGGCTCCTGGACACCTTTGGAAACCACTGCCAGTAAACATTGTTCATTGGTGCGTACATAAATGTAAGTTACAACTCATCAAGTCATGCTGAGGAAAAAGAAGAGATCCAGACATGCCGCCACCTTCTCTGGGCTTGAACTTTAAGATGGACGGAGGTGAAGTGGAGAAACTGTGCTGTTGTCTGAAGAGTGAAAAACTGAAATTCTTTTTTGAAATCATGGATGCTGCATCCCCCATGCTAAAGAGGAAGGCCTTTTAGAGAAGGCCTTGTTTATTTCATCAAGACAATGCCAAACCACAGTCTGCATGTATTCAAGGAGCACTGCTCCGTAAAAAGGTTCTGGGTGCTAAACTAGCCGGTCTGCAGTCCAGGCCTGTCACTCGGGAAACATTTGGCACATTATGAAATGAAAAATACAACAAAGGAGACCCAGTGAAATCCTGTATCAAGCAAGAAAGGGAAAACATTTCTCTTTCAAAATTAAAGCAGCTGGTCTCCTCAGAGGCATTCATGCTTTGGGGTTCTGCATGTCTGCTAAGGTCGAGTGATGCAATTTTCATCATTGTCGCAGGTCCACAAGGGTCTGTGCAGCTCCGCTCTGACATCCATGTGCAGACCAAAAGTTTATGTGGATGCTTCATACAGCAAAAGCCCCAACTGTGCATGTACCACAATGCTTGGAAACCGTCAGTGTACGTGGACAGAACGCAGACCTTCTATTTGAAATATGAATAGGAATGCATACGCATCCCTCGTCCATGTCCACGTATGCATGAGGTTATGCGCAAAGCATAAGAGGGGTACATACTGTATGTACTGCACCTTTCCCTGTTTGAAATCAAATTTTAAATTGAGCATATTTTTCAAAAAACTAAATTTCTTTCAACTTATGCTTTTTTGTGCAATTATCAGTTAAATACAGGATTTTTTTCTTATAATTTGCAAACCATTGAATTTATTTATTTTTCATTTTACACAGTGTCTCAACTTTTTTAGAAATGGGGTTGTGTGACAATGCTCTTCAGTGTCCCAGTCTTTTCCCCTCCACTCAGTTTACATTTCTGCAGTCCTCTGAAGTTAGTTTTGAAGAGTCCTGGTGTAAAATATTGGCAAATAATATTCAGATTAGTATTTTAGATGTTTTCTGAACTTGTGTCAACATAAAGAAGATCATCACAAACACCCTGTACACTTACTAAATGCAATAAAGCTTTAAAATTTCTTTTGGACATTAGAGTGAGTGCTTGGAGCTCTTACTGGGTTTTACATCTCATCCAATAATTCAGAGACTTCTGAGCCACAGCCAGTTTTGGTTGTACACATACATTTTCTGAGACACTATCAATAGCAGACTTAAGACATGTTTCTGGATCACCTGTGGATATTGACAGCTGTCTCTTTATGGGTAAATTTGAGCATCAGTTCATCTATAATGGCAGTATATGCAAGTAGTAGTACTATACTCGATTTATAGATGACATCTTTATGAATGAGCTGTCACAGCATTTTTTTGTCGACTACCATGCGCCATAATAATACAGTTCCTGAATTGCAAATGAAAGGAGACTTACAGTATAAGTAGAACAAAATATGCAAAAATGAAACGGTCACAAATATACAAAATCTATAGTGATCTGACAGCCATTGTTGCAGGAGATAAGTTGTATGCAGAAGGATCCTTACTTGGACTTATTGCACTTTAAAGTGCATATCTTGTAGATGACCAGAAGCAGAGTCACAGATGTGAGGATGATGAGAAAGATGAGAATACCAATGACAGCTTTGTCATTATCTGTAAAATAATGATGAGGAAAAAATCATAAAAGGGTGCATGTCAAAGATACAGTATACAGAAATGGATGTGTGAAGAGTGTCAGGACAAAATGTGTCATAATTTATTATTATTATTATGAATGATTTGACTAAACAAAAAGAAATAATTGATGGTATTAATTAAAACAGCACTTACAGAGAGTGTCAACATCTTTTGTCGCGGGGCGGCTGCTCTCAAAATGTCCGTTGGAAACTGACACCTGCAGAGACAGAAAATCTCTTTATTGTTATTGAAGCATTTGAAGAATCATGAGAAATACATTGGCCATGTTCTTGTGAAAGTAAAAGGTAAGATTACACAAACCTGCACCGTGTAGCTGGTAGAGTAGCTCAGATCTTTGAATTCAAAGTTACATGTCCCATTTGTGTATTCAAGCAATTTAGCATCGTCAAACAGTCACTGTCAGTGCCTGTGTAGAGATATCTTCTGGTACTGTAAGAGAGCAAAGGAAAAGATACTGAACTTCAGATACAACACTGTATGAACACACAGTTAAAGTGAGATTTAGTTTGTTATATTTGGACTTCATTTAATTTTGAAGTGTTGAAATTACTTTTTTAAATAAAGCTATCTCAAAAAGGAAACTGATTGTTATAAAAAATGTGAGATGAAATACAATGACAAAAAAGACATTTTAAAAATGTAAAAAAAAAAAAAATTATTCCATTTTGGAAATAAAGTTTGTTTTCATAGTTCTTTCCTTGAACAGTATAAGACAATATAATTGGCAGTTTAAATAGTTTTATTTATTAACTGATAATAATCTAATGCTAAAAAGTTAGATACCAGACTCCAGACTAATAAGATGCAGTCAGAGAATGAGGAAAACAGCTCTTAGTAGGTTTTTAACTTCTATAATTACTGTTTATTCCTGGTACATATTGTGAACATGGCCTCTCTTTCACTAATGACTGGAGCTACTGTAGTGCACTATGTACAGTCTTTCCTTTACATAATGTATATTGGTACTGCTTCTGTAAATAGAAGTTTAATGTCATTCACAAAAAAACAGGATAAAAATTCTGATATATTATTTATAATTGTGATTTTTTTTATAATGATAAAAAAACTAGAAGATGCATTTCAAATTAAAATAAAATAATTAGTTTAAATAACTTAATAAAGTAAATTTTTGTTAAGTCACTACACCGCCTGGTGAGTAATTTGTCGTAATGATCATGGATATAAATAACACCTGGGGAGATGCTGTTGAGATAAACAATTTCTGTGCTGGTCGCTGCCGTAACTGATTTGAAGTGAATCTCCCTCCATCGATTTGTGTCCTGCTTTCTTTGTAAGACTGTCTTTCAGGGGATTACCGCTCTTTAGGGGCGATAATTGATGCGAGCGTGATCCAGTAGAGGTTGGCGTCCATCGCCCATGTTGTGCTAGGATGACGTGCAGCCAAGGGGTGATAGCCACTGCTGTTTTGCTTATGCAACGTTTTGCCTTGTTTGCTTTTATGTTAAGAGGTTTATCTAGCATTATGTTCCCTATTTATTGTATTGTTTCCAAATAGGGTTTAGTCAATTTTATGGTGTGAACAGTGTGTGAATGGTTTTATGCACAGGGAGGCAAGGCCCTCTTATATTTGGTTGATGTGTGATAATTGATTTGTGGTGTTTATTTAATGGTGCCTTTTAACCTGTTGACTCTGACCATTTTACTCCTGTTCTGCACTGTATTTATTGAGTGGGGGGAAACTTCTTCTTATAGGTAGCATTTTAGCTTCTGGGGTTAGGCTTCTTAAAACATTTTTATTGTTAAATTATACATTGACTCAAAGTTTTAT